CTCTCATACTCGTACATTCAATGTACTGATGCCAGGTGGCCTGCATCTTATTATGATGTAGACGCAGGTAACCAAGATCAGCATCTAGGGCGCCGTTGATCTAGTCAAGCACTCCAGAGTCAGTGGTGAGCCTCCTTGCATTCCGGAGGACTCATTTATTCGCTTTCCTAGTTTTTTTTCTTTATTAGGATGTTATGGGGTCTGTCCCAACATCCATCTCAGTATTATAGAGGCTTCATAGACAGTTAGACAATAGTTGAGTCTCTCATCTATGTATTTACAGATATTCTATTTTTGAGACATAAGTTGCCATTTTGGCCAGATTTTATCATTTAAGCTGTTTTATGTAACTTATATTGTGTTGAGTTTAAGTCTTCTGCTGAGTTAAGTAGCCAGGCCAAGGGTTCGGTTGGGGCCAACAATGGTCTCCGAGTGCCGGCCACGTCCAGGGTGTAGACTCGGGGCGTGACAATTATAAAGTGGACGAATTAAAAACTTAATATTTTTAAGAAGTTCTACTTTTTCCAAAGTAATTAATTGAGGGTATAATGGATAAAAAAATTGTCCTTTCTTAATTTGTCAAAATGGACAAGTAATTAGGGACAACTATAAAATAAAAAGTGGACAAGTAATTAGGGACAAATGGAGTATTATGTTTCCAGTTAAATTAATGAAATGTTACAGAAATTCATGAGGTGAGAACTGAGGTGAATGTATCCATAATAAAAAATAATAACATTTATTATGGCTTGAAATATGTATTTTTGTATATATTATTTTGTGTTGTTTCTGTTCAAAGTAGAATATTAGTATGAGGTGAATGTATTGACATGAATAAAAATGGAGAGAAATAAAACGAGTGTTTAAAGTTAAATTGCAATTTTTCTCTTATATTTAATTAAAATAAAATACCTAATCTAATTGAAATAGTAGTAATTGTATTTAAATTTACATGAGATTTGTGAATAAGTCCAATTTAAATGTATCCCTTAATGATTTACCCATTAATCAAATTTAAGTGTGCTCTATTCATTGCTAAATAGTTTGGAGAATAGGAAGAGTTGCATTAAATAATTTTAAATAATTAAATGTAGACTAATTAATTAGGAGAAATGAATAGTTTGGAGAATAGGAAGAGTTGTATTGAATAATTAAATGTAGACTAATGAAAGAAAAGGTTCAAGGAATACAAATTGAAAAATAGCTATAGAAAGGCAAGAAATGATTCTTGAATTCTTACTCACCATTTTT